AGAAATATTAATTTTTTAATTTTTAGAGAGAATGAAAAAATATTATTTTTCATATTCTTGATCTTTTTTTTATAGATTCATAGAACTAATGTTATACAAGACTATAAATAATATTGAATAGCTTTGAAAAATATAAATAAATGTATTTATCAATATATTTATTATATTTATATATACTGTGAAAGGCATTTAAATGCCACCCTCGAATTAAAATTTTGACGTTTTTCTAAAATCCAATGGGAATCAAGATATTCCGGAGGTTTAAATCGTTTTCCTCCCGTCCCAAAAATTAAAGATTTGTAACAGGAGCACATGATGATAAAAGAGGTATTCGAGGTACAGAGTTTGCCGCTGAAAACAAGAGCGCTGATTCGTTGATAATAACCAATCAGCTTTAACTGACGCCATTAACTACCAATCAGAACATTCCGTCGGTAAGGCACCCTACCTCAAATTTATTAATGATAGTTAAGTATATTCTACATTACGTATATGTAAATAAAGTATTCAAATCCAAATATTTTTAGAAAATATATATTTATTAGTAATATTTAATGTCCAATCGGGGTAGGACATCGTCCTTAAAATTACAATAAATTTGTTACATTATTGAGCTTGTAAATATTTCAAGTATTTAAAACGCGAGACTACAAGCCTAAAAAAGTATTGTACGTGCAGAGCAAAGAGTGTACTATCACTTTAAAATAAATTTTATTAAAATTTGATCACTGTAAGTATAAAAAATATTGACGAGAAGGTTCCAAATATATGAACGCTATGTGTGAAAGATTATTCCTTTGCAGCATTTCATTTTATGGGATTTGAAGTATTTAAAACGCGTACCACACAGCTAAAAATAATATTGTACGTGTAGGGCAAAGAGTGTACTATCATTTAAAATAAATTTTAATAAAATTTGACTACTGTAAGTATAAAAAATATTGACGAAAACGTTCTCAAGATACGAAAGCTATGTGTGAAAGATTACTCCTTTGCAGCATTTCTTTTTATAGGATTTTAAGTATTTAAAACGCAAAACTACTAGCCAAAAAAAAATGATAAGACATTGTAAAAAACTTTGTAAGTTGTGCGATAAAAACCTGATTATATATACTAGCCAAAAAAAAGTATTGTACGTGTTGGGCAAGGTGTGTCCTATGATTTAAAATAAATTTTATGGAAATTTGACTACAGTAAGTATAAAAAAGATTGACGAGAACGTTCCAAAGATATGACAGCTATGTGTAAAATATATGTACTTTGCTGCATTTCATTTTCTGGGATTTTATGTATTTAAAACGCGAGACTTTCAGCTTGAAAAGTTATTGTTCGTGTAAGGCGAATTGTGTACCCTAATTTAATTTAAAAATGATTAAGATTGAACGGCTATAAGTTTTAAAATTTTTTTCGCAAACTACTTAATAAAATAAATTTCATTCTGGTTCTGCGTGAAGTATGTCCGATTGGAAAGTTTCTTAATCAAGAAACGACATTACTGTTTTTTGATATTTTGTGAACCTTTGAAGATTGATTTTTTACTTGATATAGTATTCCGTAGGAATAGGAGTTTAATTTTTTTTATTATGTAAAACTTTCCATTTTAAATTATTTAATGAATATTGAAATTTAAAGAAAAAAGAATTTAAATGGCAAATAAATGGACATTTAAAAATACCGAGTTCTCGATGCATTAGAAAATGTGCTTTTCTATATTTAAACACAAGTGAATATGAAAAAATGCATGTCTCTGATGCATGCTTTTTTTAATATACAAATATATGAATAGAAAATTGTTTCAATTTCATACAAAATTATCAATCGATTAATACAATTACAAATACCCATAGGAAATTATTCAAGACACATTATGAAAAACTTAAATAATTATGAATATATCACAGTTTTTAAAAATTAATAAACACCGCTTTCAAAATAAAAAAATAAACAATATTGCACATTGCGTCGTATTACAAAATGCATACGCAATTATTTATATCGCCATAACAATAACCATAACGAGATCAAATCTATGTTTGATCGATAGAATACA